ATTCCTGCTCGTGCTGTAAGACTATGTCAGTTCTTGCCAAACATCCTAACAGTTATGCAATATAAAAGATACTCTTTTTATAACAGATTAGTTTGCAGACTCCATGAAGGATGGAGTCTACTTGCTTTGCCCATCATTAGACTATTGTCCAGCAGACATTGAATCATTATTTTTCTAAGGGAGGAAATGAATGCATGAATAGGTGAGGAACAGATCTGTGTTTAATTCATCAATTTTATTATGTATTCTGAAAATCATTTTACTTACCATTTAGGTTTTTCATATTATTATATTCAAAGTATTATACATAAAATTTTGATTTATAGCACAATTATAAAATACTAAATTATATAGCTATAGTTACTCAGAGGCTCTGCTAAGTTCTGATTTTAGATAAGTGACAACTTAAAACCAGATACTGTAAAAATGCTAAAGTATCACTATTGATGTCTCATTTTCAGCTGAGGCTTAAATACAATTGCTACTACTAGAACCAGTATGTAGAACTTTGGAGGAAAAAAGAAAAAGATGGTATAAAACCTTGAGATGATGACCCTGTTGTAGCCTAGGAGAGGTTAGAGAAGCTGGGAACTAGGAGAGTGGAAAAAGAGGATTTGGGGAGAAAGCTGCTAATGGTGTTGTAAGCCCCAGTCTTTTCTCAAGGAGAAAGCCTCAAGTCCAATGAAAAAGGGGTTTAATAGAACTCCTTGGAAGAGCTGGGTGTCTGCCTTTCTACCTAAGAAATCGAAATGACAAGTCACAGACTGTCTAGTTGTGGATAAAATTGCCAAAGAAGAGGTGGTGGTTTGGGGTAGCCTATGGCAAAGTTTCCTTCTGGGGACTCTATCCAAGCAGGGAGAGTGGGAGAGGGGAAGAGGGAGAGAAGTCACTATGGTCTAAATGTTTGTGTCCCCCCTCGCCCCAGAATTCATATGTTTTGAAATCCTAATGCCCAATGTAATGGTATTTGGAGGTGGGGCTGCTGGGAGGGAGATGCTCAGGTCATGAAGCTGGACCCCTCATGAATGGGCTGAGATTTTATACAAGAGACCCCACAGGGCTTCTAGTCCTTCTGTCATGTGAGGACACAGGGAGAAGGTATCCTTTGTGAACCAGGGAGAGGGCCCTTATCAGCCACCACACCAAATCTGCTAGTGTGCCATGATCTTAGAATTCCCAGGCTCGAGAACTATGACATAATATTGATAAGCCAACCAGTCCATGGTACTTTGTTATAGCAGCCCGAAACGACTAACAGAAAGAGAGAGATTGTAGGGGAGGAGCAAGCAGGCTTCCTGCATGGCTGAAAAGAACTTACCAGAGACAGAGCTAGAGGTCTGGTCAGATGCCTGGAAGAAGGAAGAGGGAGGTAGAGGAAAGTGCATTACTCATGGTAAAGGAAGGTGAGAAATCCCCAGTCTTGGGATGGGTGGGTGGGTCTCCAAAGAACTGATGAAGCTGGACAAGTGGAAAGTTCAGCTGACTACTCCTGCTACAGTCAGAGTACCACGCCAGTTCTTGAGAGTTCTTGTCCAGTGAGAACCTTTTGCTACTGCTTTAGCTATTCTCACTTGCTCTGTTGCAAACCTGGAAGTGTCAGAAGCTCTGAGAAAGGAGGTGTAAAAACACAAAGAGAAGAAACTGACTATTCTCCTTTCCTTGGCTGTAAGTTTCCCAATCTAGAGATGGTCAAAAAGTGGGGAAAAGTTCAAAGTTCTGACTATTAAGTGACACTGAACCTTTTAATTACTCACTGGAGGAACTCAGGTCACTTAACAGTGACCAGAATTACTGGGTTTTTAATCCAGAAACAGGAAAACAAACAAACAAACAAACTAACCCCGATTAATATAAATGGGAGAAAAAAAGTGCTTTATGATTGCATTCCCTGAATCATGCTTGCTCAGTGTAGAGATTACACATGCACTATTTTTATGTGTAATGTTTTAGAAAAAAACACATTTGAATAATGTGTTGATTCAGAGAATCATTGATAGACATATTGACAGCATATTCCAGTTTATGGACCTAGTTATCCCATAATAAAGCCCACATAAACCAACTACTTGATATCATGTTGATCAAATAAAATCATTTTCAACATTAGCACAGGAATATGAACACTGTGTGTATGTGTGTGTGTGTGTGTGTGTGTGTGTGTGTGTGTGTGTATTAATCAGTCTTCTAATAAGATTCTCCTGGTCACTTCTGCAAATACTTGTTGCTATTTGAAAAAGGCATTCACTCTTTTGAACACTGGTGGTTGATTTCTTTCATGCATCCTCATGTAAACAGAT